GGTATAGGGGAAACTGTGAATGATCATGTTGGTCTGTGTCGGCTGATGAATTGTTAATTAAATTATTCCCTCGGGATGACCTGGGATGTTCTTTTTTTGCACATCATGGAGCTCTGTGGATCAACTGAATGGATCATTGTATCAGTGTCTTCACCTTGGTTCTCCTCCTCCATTTTCACATTATGTGTACTGACACATAAAGTTTAAAAAAAAAAAAGATGGAAGACTTCCTCTCTCTACACTGAACGGTGTATACTCTGAGCGACCTACAGCAGCTAGCCCTTTGATTACGGGACTCAGCCATACTCTGTGTGTTTCAGCTGATGCTAGCTTTTCTGCTATCTTGCATTCTGTTATCCTGGATCAAACAGATCCTCTCTCTGTGGTTTCTAAGTCTCTCTGGTGAATTCAAATCCTGCTGGCTGCTGCCCCAGTCACTATCTTCATGCATGTGCATTACTGTCATTGCAAAATGTATACAGTCGATAAGGACGCTGATCATGATCTTGATGATAATGGAGATAGAGCTCCTCAAAGGATCATTATTCATTGCTAGACTCAAAACTCACTTCTCTGCCCTTCCTTCCTTCCTTTCTTCTCTCTTTAACAGCAATGAAAGTCTTCTTCCATAAGCTGTGGAAGCTCACAATACTTAGAGAATTTTAAAGTGCCAGAAGAATGAATAGGTGTTGTATAGCATAATGAATAATAAATCATGGTGGCTTATACGTGGAGAAGTAGACCTTGAGAACAGAGGAGCGTCAAACTCCTGCTGTGACAGCTGGCAGCCCGCTCCAGTGCTCCGACTGCTTCAGTGCAGCCACCGCCGAGCCATCTCTCACCATAGCGCACACACCTAATCCATCCTCTTAAAGTGGGAGCAGCTAGCATCACACGGCGACATACTCGGCTGCCGGGCGGGTCTGCCAACACAGGTGGCGAGACCAGTTCTACATTAAATAAAGCAGGGACAAACAGAAGGCCACCAGACATAACAACATGGAGATGGATTGGTGAAGTTCTGCCTCTGTTCCAGCTAACACAGGCCTGAATTGTGAATATATATTGAAGCTGCTAGCTCCAGTATGTCCATTCAATCAGACAGCAAAGAGTGGAGCCTGACCCCACTAGATCACACCTTTCACAGCGCTGTCTGTTCAGGATCTTTTTAAAAATGTGTTTTTGGTGTTTTACCTCTTTTCGTGTCCCTGTAGGATAGCAGAGGTGGGCTGCTGTCATTTCATATAAAAAACAAGCCCCACTCATGTTCTCATGAAAACTTTGATTCTTTTTTTTTGTGTGCTGCAGCTGCACTGTTTGTTTTTGCATTTTTCCCCTCCTCTCCCTGTTGTGTTAGTATGACTGAGTGATCTGTAGCCGAGTACTCATCCATGAAGAGATGTTCCTCCTCTTTCCAGCTGTCGACTCGCTACGCTCTTTTACCACACGCATGTTAAATTCATAAAGCCTCTTACAGGCTGGGATTCAGAGTTTTAGGCCAAGACACACACACACCCATGCACGCACACAAAAAGTTCATTTCTGATATCTCATTCAATCACAGTGTAGACAAGCAGAGCCCTGGCAGTTCATCCAGTAAACCCTGGCTGATAGCATGCTCATGTTATTGATGAAATTGTGTCCCTGAAAAAAAGGTGCGTAGTGCATACCAATTTAACAGGCTGTTACAAATTGACTCTGGTATGTGCTTGGTGATATTAATGATATGCTAATAGAGGGAAATCAAACTTCCACAGGAAAGGATAACTTTCTCATGTGTGAGAGTTGTACTAGTTGGTAGCACATTCTTTTAATTGACAATGTCTGGGTTCATAGTAGTGCTAATACAGTACTTTAGTTTCTACAGGCCCATTTGTTGCCATGATGATGATTGATAACAGTGTTGGTGGGCCCAATACCTTTGGTCTAGAGTGAAATATTTCAATAAGTATGAGATGTATTGCCATGAAATGTTGTACTTTTATGATACCTGGAGGATGAATCATAGTGAGTTGGTGATCTTCTGATTTTTTTCTCCCATGCCACCAGAAGGTCTTTTTAGTTATTGCTTGAAATACCACTACATCTACTCGTAAAGACATCCATGTTCCCTCAGGATGAATTGTTATTACTTCGGAGATCCCATAAAAGGGGAATCAAACTGATTTTACACATCAAAGTGTGTTTTCAAATGTTCCAAAGGAGCACTACTACATTCTCGTAAATGCAATATGTCAGGAATGCCTTGAGGGAATTTCTTCAATTTGGGCACAAACGTCCACTTAGACACAAGGATGAACTGATTAGAACTTGGTATTCAAAGGTCAAGGTCACTGTGACCTCACAAGACATGGTTTTGGCCATAACTCTAGAATTCATATTCTAATTGTGAAAGAATTTCACACAAATGTCTTATAGAATAGGATGATGAAGTGATGACATTTCATATCCACAAGGACAAAGGTCAACTTCAATGTGACATCATAATGCCATGCAGAAACACTTATCTGGCCATTATTCACTACATAACTCAGGAACAGAGGAGGAGACATTTGGTCAGATACTGAATTGGTGACACTAATCTTGGGTGTCCACCTTGAAACTGTGCTGATGTATAGATCTTCTGTGCTGTCAAGTTGAAGACGTGTGTGTAGCATTCAAGTTGCATTGGACTAAAGGGAAACTGACAAAGAGAGAGAGGGGTGGACTCCAAGGGGACTTGGTTGGTAGTGTTTGCCTGTGCTTCCCCAGCAGTGTGTGACATAAGTGTAACATGTAGCAGAGAGTGGTGATTATCATCTGTGCGCCAATACGCCGTGGACCACTGTGTACACTCCGGAGAGGCACTGTGGGGAGAAGCCCAGACTGCCACTGTCATGTGCAAGGCACAGAGCCAGCAACAGCCGAGCAACAACATAACCTACAAGTTATGTAGGGTTGGGCCTGATACTTTTGGGCTTGATCAAAGTTCTGAGAGAAAGCTGTGTGAAGTCTGATAAATGTCTTAAAGAGATATAACTTGAGTCAGCAATGGTTGGGTCTGAAGACCACAGGTTTGAAAGTGAAAACAGTCAGGAGGTATGAAGTTAGGAAGAAGTTAGACCTCTTTAGCTTGTTGCTCATCTCTGCTGCAGTTGCTATGCTACTAGCATAACACACTTGTTTTTCTGATTGGCAGTCGAGTTGCAGCGTGGGTAATGTAGGCAGCAGGTTTTAACAAGGAAGAAGACTGAAGACTGTTGTAGTGCAGTGCTAAATCAAGTAACAGAGTAGTCTTTTAACTTCTCTTTGGCACTATTACTAGGTCAAAAAATGCCCCTCATAAACAAGCCCCTTCCTACCTGTCTGAACGCCTTCATATCTACACACCCTCCCGTAGTCTTAGATCCTCTACCACCCAATACTACCATGGTTTCTAGAGCCTTCAGCCATTCTGCTTCCCACCTCTGGAACTCTCCCCCACGACATTCATAATATTAACTTCCCTTCCGCTTTCAAATCCCATCTGAAACCACACCTTTTCAAGCTGGCATATTCTGTCTGATTTAATGGTGACACACATATTGAAACTTCCGCTGATGATGATTTTATAATGATGACTTTATACGCAATACTTATAATTACGGTTTTTGTCCAGTCATTTTATTAACTTTTATTGTATATTACAGAATTGTTTGATTTTATGAAGTATGGATACATTGCTGCTTGTTTTTTTAACCATGTCTTGTAAGATGTCCTTGAGTGCTTGAAAAGTGCCTATTAAAAAAATGCATTGTTATTATTAGTATTATTATTATAATTATTATTATTAATCAAGGGCCAAATATCTGCAAAACTGACATCCCTCATCAGCCCCAGTTGTGCTTTGCTTTTAGTGTTAGTCAGAAAATGTTAGTATTCTAATGCAAAACTAATATGGTAGACATGGTTAACACAGACTAGTCCATACCCATTGGTAGCTTTGTCACCCTCTACCTATGCCAATCCTCAATGCCTATGTGCAGTTTCACATAGACTGACCACGTCAGTGAGTAGAAAAACATGGAACAGACAGAATGACTGACTGACAGAATGACACACTGACAGTTTCTGTGATTATGTACAGCATACCATATCATGATTTAGCCACAGCGATCGGTCGCATTTTAGGCATTTTTCTTAGCATTTTTCTGTTGTTATAGCGCCACCCAGTTGCCAATTAGAGTTAAATTTCTCCAGTCACCTTGAGGCGTCCTGTTCTACATATCTACCAAGTTTAGTAAAAATCGATATGGCGGTTAGGCCTAGATAAGAAATTAACTTTCTAGCGCCCCCATTTTGTTTCTAAAACTTCACCAGAGCCTTCCTCAGCATGAGGGTGAGTAGATAATGGCTGAATTTTCATTCTTGGGTGCACTATCCCTTTAAGTGTTCAAAATGGCGGAAAATCTATACAACCGGAAGTTATGGGTTGTTGAGCCAAATTTGTTCCTCATGAGGAGAGGCATCTCTGTGCAACGTTTCATGACTCTACGACATACGGGGCATTTAATATGCCCATTCAAAGTTCAGTCGGTTGCTATAGCGCCCCCTCTTTGGCCAATTGATGTAATATTGCTTCATTGGCATCCTCCCATGACCCTCTACCACTGTGCCAAATTTCACATGGATTGACCAAGTCAGTGAGGAGAAAAACGTGGAACAGACACACCCACAGACACACCCACACACAGACAGAGTTTTCGTCATTATATAGTAAGATGGTAAACTTAGCATCAGCATTTTAGCATTAATATAGTGAGCATGCTAGCATGCTGGCATTTGTATTTAGCTCCAAGCACAGCTGTGCCTCAGTGCCACATCACAGAGCTGCTAGCATGGCCACAGGCTTGTAAAGAACTTAACAAACAGTTTTTGATATGGGGTGTCACTGACTTATTTTGGTTGGTACCAAAAAAGTATTAAGTTTGGATACCATTTTATTCTACTCTGTATTTAGTTTTTGTCCTCTGTATGTGCAGGTGAAAAGCATTCAGGACGCCATCCGAGATAGGAAGCAGAGGTTTAACTTCATGGGAGAGGAGGTAAATCTTTGCCCCTCTGTTGGCATCTTCATCACAATGAATCCAGGCTACGCTGGCAGGACTGAGCTACCTGAGAACCTCAAGGCTCTGTTCAGGTGGGTCAAAGGACCATCACAAGTCTTACAGCTCTAATGCAACATACAGTACAGGACTTTATCCCTCAGATTTTTTTGGTCCATCATTTAAGATATAATCCATCATCGTCATGGAACTTTACAAATTATAATAACATGAAAACAGTAGGAGTGCTTTTATTAAATATGATTATGTTATCAAATCTGCCTACTCGGATGTGGCTGCAAAATGGAAGTGACAATTAGACTGCAGTCTTTAAAATGTACAAGAAACATTACAAACATGTTGAAAAATACATTTTCAATGCTTTGTGACCCTTAAAGGGATAAACAGATTAAGAAATGGACTATTAAATTGGATTAGATTAGATTTCACTTTATTGTCATTGCACACAGCACAGGTACTGAGTCATCTAAATACAGTTTAGTATCCAGAAGTGCAAAAAGCTTTAAAGTAAAGAGTAATGTATAAAGTATTTACAAAATAATCAGTAATAGAGAATGTACAATAAATGGTGAGGGAAATATATGAATACACTAAATAAATATAATATGAATAGGATGAAATGTGCGGCAATTACAGGCAGTGCAAGTCTAAGTAAAACTGTTTAGTGCAGGTGTAAATACAAGAAAGTGGGAAACTATGATCAGAATACAGTGTATCGAGCTGAGACAGAGCTGGTACAGTGGGAAAAGTTCACTGGAATCTGAGGAGACAGATGGACTTTCTTTAGTCTCCTCAGGAGCAAGAGTTGCTGGTGAGTCTTCTTGACTCAAGTCTTTCGATATGTGAACCCTCAGAAACTTAAAGCTGGCGACACGCTCAACCTCCCTGCCAAATTGAGCTCCTTGGTGTTCTTGCTGTCTAGATGGAGGGATATTTGAACCCATCAATAGATGGGAACATGATAGTGTTTTGTTTTTCTGTTCAGAACATCAAATTTCATACTTTTCGATCTCATTTTCTTTTTTATCTTTTTCTTTTGGACTTTTTCCATCTCAATGTCATTTCTCACCACAGTACACAATACATCGTTTCAATCTTTTAAAGGGTCTGCAACAAATTACAAAAATAGGGATATATGAACTACTACTTTTTTTTTAGTCCGAAGTCATTCTATTGAAACCTGTCTCTTAACTGATCTTCATATTATTACATTTATTTTGAAAACAACAAATGAAATTAATGGTTATCTACAGTACATCTCTCATGTAATGTCTGATGTATTGTATATTCAATACCAGCAAAACATCCTCATGCCACAATGGTCAGTTTTCAAATTACACCTGGCACAAGTGACATTAGCTACAGCTGCATGCACGAGGCCAGCGTGTGGCAAAGAGAGAGAGAGCATGTTAGGTGATGGTTGCTCTCTGAAAAGGGAGTCCCATCTTAAGGCAAGGTCGCTGACAGCATTGTGGGAAGTTTGTTGCAAAAGAGCTGTGTGATGTGTTTAGTTGTGATGAATTGTGAGCTGTGCTGAACTCATATTGATCTGCTGTTTACTGTGTATGCCTCCTCAAAATCCAGTAACATTAACCCACAAGTCTTGAATTTAATTGCTTGTTCTGTAGATAACAAATGATTATGAACTGTAACTGAGATCATTTTGATGCATTCTGTCCATTTTTCCACAGACCATGTGCCATGGTGGTGCCAGACTTTGAGCTGATATGTGAAATCATGCTGGTGGCCGAGGGCTTCCTGGATGCTCGGGTGCTGGCTAGGAAGTTTATCACCCTGTACACACTGTGTAAAGAGCTGTTGTCCAAACAGGTAATATCTGTTTTCTTTGATGTTACACATCTGATATGGTTAGAAAGAGCCAGATCCATTTCCACTTCAAAGCTGAACAAGTGACACAATGTTCTTTTTATATTTGAGGCTTTTGATAAAGGAATGACTCAGAGGCACCACACAAGAGCTGAGTTTCTAACTGAACTCTCTGAGTGAAGTGCTACATTGCATATGAATAAGAAGCTGCAGGGAGTTTGGATGTTATTCCATCTAAAATTTCCTTTAATCCTTTTTTAGTCTGGTCCCTTTTTTACATGTCATGCCCTTATTTTAATGATTTAAAAAAGCAATAAAATCACTCACAGTGCTGACTAATAGTTACAGGGGAGCTTCTCGATTTAGGTAAGCAATTTTATGAGTCCTCAGTTCTGGATGAATTTCCCATGACCACAGGCCCGTTTAAGTGTCATAGCACTCTACTTCCTTTTTATGGTGATTTTATGAAGCTCTAGTCCCTCCGACATTTTTAAATATCACCTTAATTACACTTTTTGGCCACTCCAAAGTTGTTTGCCAGAGTTTCATTGCAGGTTTTCCAACATTAGCAACTTAGCGGTAATGAAATCAAATGATAATGAACAGACTGCCTCTCTAAGCTATATTCACAAGGGCTGAAACTGCAAATCAATGGAAAGTGCAGATTCAGAGAACTACTTTCTTGAGTTAAACAAGTGGTTCATAATTGTGGATTTAATATTACATAAGTTCTGCTGCTGGCCCTGTGCTGAACAAATATGCAGTGGACACCAGAGCATGCTAACAGAGTACAGTGAAATATATTCCATGCTATCAGAGTCTGCAGGGAGCTGAAATAATGCTCTAATAAGTTTGCAGCCTCTAGTGTCATGGCAGTAAAATGCTGTGGCATTGTGTGTTCTTGTGTTTGTTGCTGCTCCATACCATCGTGTTGATTGTGTTGATCTGGATAAGACCACCTGTGATGCACCTGTGACAGACAACTGGCACATAAATTTGATCTTAGCCTCTGGACAGGACATACACACTGACAGTCCCAATGCATCTGATATCATATGAGACCAACTCATTGTTTAAAAACTACTAAGACACTTTAAAGCCACAGTCAGTTACTTTCATAAAAAAAAACCCAAAACCCTAACTGTCACTATATCCTAACAGTAGTACATCAGGCAGTGCCTGTGGATATTCTCATTCATCCAGGTCATAGTTATCTCAAGGCAGTTGAATTGAAATGAAACTGATGAAGCCTCTTGGATAAAAGGTGAAACGTCTTCTAAGACAAAACCAAGTCCAGTTGCGTTCGATTCAATTGCCTTGAGATACATCAGACAGATACTCATACTGCTTCTAATGGCATTTGCAAGAACCCACCATGTCTGAACAAGTACACCCAATCAGAGCCGAGGAGTCTCTAATGCAGCTGTCAATCACTGCTCTTGAACTGCAGTCAAACTGTCAAACTAGGTAGTGCGATCAAATATGAATCAAGATTCTGTTACCCCATTGCCTATTTTTCACCTCAGATGTTTTCAGAAACATTTTAGTGTACTGTTGAGCTGTAAAATGAGAAAGTGTGTGATAAGGTCGCCATGTTGAAAACAGCCAAAATCAGGCACCACCCACCAGCCAGAGCAAAACTTTCTTATTTTACAGTTAAAGATACACTGAAATGAGAAATATCACAAGTTACTTTGGGAATATTATGTTGATGTTATTATGAAGGATGTCCAAAAATATAAAGTAGGTTAAGCTCACTGTAAAATCACTAAATCCTTCCAGATGAGCTCTCCATCCAGACATGGATATAATAAGTATATTATATGGGGCTTTAAATCATAGAGTAAGTGAATTAATGCTGCGATTAATTATATTTATCTCTCAGGGTGGGTTGATTCCTGGAGAGTCATGGTTAGGATGCAAAGATTCACAGAACCACAGACTAACAGTCTAAACCTATGCTAGTAGCTCTGTGGGGCTGTACTTAGCAACAGTAGACCCTTTGAGCTACATGCTAATATATCAATGCTAATATGCTGATGAAAAGAGTGAAATAGCATCGATGGTAGAGGTAGATGTCCATTTTTAATTACCCTTTCAACCTTACTACCAGCTCTGCATGCCCTGCTGTGAAACTGTGTATTTTCCTCTGCTCACTGACATCTCTCTGGCCTTTACCAAAGGACCACTATGACTGGGGCCTCCGAGCCATCAAGTCTGTCCTGGTGGTGGCTGGCTCTCTGAAGAGAGGAGACCCCGGCCGAGCAGAGGACCAGGTGCTGATGCGAGCTCTGAGAGACTTCAACATCCCCAAGATTGTGACTGATGACATGCCAGTGTTCATGGGCCTGATAGGAGACCTGTTTCCTGCTCTGGATGTCCCCAGGAAGAGAGACCTGGACTTTGAGAAGCATGTAAAGGAGTCAATTTTGGATTTGAAGTTACAAGCCGAGGACAATTTTATCCTCAAGGTAAATTAAACACAATTCTTCTGTAGCCCTCTGACATGCTTGTCTGCTGCAGTTTATCGGATTTTGTTTTGATTACAACTCAAAATGTCACAAGTGTTGCCAAGGATGACGGCAATCACAACTTGTCTGTGAAGCAGGAGCAAAGTCCCCAAATGGGGGTTTCATCTTTAACAATTTAGACAGATATTACAGTTGTAGCACTTTCATTTAGATTTATCGTAGTTCTTTCCAAAAGCTATTTACCTCACGTCATAATGTTCTGCTGGGAAATACACATTAGTGTCAAACAAGTCTGCGGGATGTGGATGAATCGGGCAAATATTGCCGAAGCCAACGGTTGGCTGCGATGAGAGTTCAGGTGCCCAAGCTGCTGACCTAATTCTAGTCATTATATTACATACAGATACACACACACACGCACACACACAGTAGAAGGCGTTATATGTCAGAGACAGATGAACACAGGACCAGGGGAAATAAGTGCAATCTGCCTCAGGTCAAATAGACACGGGAACCACATAATAACACTCCATCAATGGAGGCTGGCGCTGCACCACGCCACTTAACCCTGACATTGTGAGAGACAGCCACGGAAATAAACAAAGAGGAGGAGAGAAACAGCGAGCGAGAGAGTGAGAATGGCGGAGCGGTCAATAACAACCATCCACCCCCAGAGCCTGAACTTTTACTGTCTTTGTTTGCGCAGCCAACCTTTTGATTTCAGACAACGAGGGGGGGAGCGGGGGGGGTTGAGAAAGCCTGCATACCTTTAGCGTTAGCCTGTGCTAGCATTAGTCCTCCCCACATCAAAGCAGTAATCAGCCGGGGCCTTTGAGAGTGTAAAGCCGCCTGCGCTCGGGCTGAATGGATGGGGAGTAGGAGCCGCGAGGAGCCCGGTCGATGGCATTGATCGAGCTCGCCATCTGTATGTTTGAGTGTAAATCTCTCTTTCTCCCTTTTCTCTGTTACACACTCTGTAGTGTCACCTCACATACCTGAACTAACAGAAAATGTTACACTGCAAGTCAAGGAAAAAGTCAAGTGTGAGTGTGTTAAGTTGACTTTGGAGGAGTCCAAATGTAGATAAGCATTACATCCTGGTTACTGTGGTGAAAGTAAAACAAACTCTCTCTACTCTTTAAAGCTTGCTTAAAGCTGTAGTTGGTAACTTTTATTAAAAAAACAAAACATTTTTTCACATTTGCTGAAACTGTCACTACATTCACACAGCACTAAATCAGACAGATAATCTGTGACCTTATCTTGTAGCTTTTCTAATGGCCTTACTGCATGTTAACTACCTCCACCTATTGCTTCTAATGGCATTTGCAAGAATTCACGGTGTCTGAACATGGACAGCCAATCAAAGCTGAGGAGTCTCAAAAGTAGCTGTCATTCATGTTGGTTACAGCTCGCAAACTTTGGTCAAAGTGTCAGTGCTGATCAAATTCTTTTACTGCATTGTCTAATTCTCTCCTCAAATGTTGTCAGCAACATATGTTAGTGTGCTATTTGGCTACAGAATGAGAAGATATGTGACTTGGCCCCCATGTTGGACACAGTTAAATGGGAGTACCAAGCACCGCCCACTTGCTGGTCTAACTTTCTCATTTAACAGCTAAACAGTACACTGTAATACGTTTATAAAAGCATCTGCGGTGAGAAATAGGCAATGCAGTGACAGAATCTTGATTCATATTTGATCAGCACAGCCTAATTTGACAGTCTGACCACAGTTCACGGAGCGATTGACTTGAATGACAGCTGTGTTAGAGACTCCTTGGCTTTGATTGGTTGTTGCTGCTGTGCCACAGTCTGATTCTAGTTAATGCTGTTAGAGGCAGAAGGGACATGATTTTTTTTTCGACGATTTTTTGTCTCGTATTTTTTTCAGAATATAGTGACAGTTTCAGCAAAGGAGACACAAAATTATTTTTATTAAAGTTACAAGACACAGAGCGTATAATACTGGGGTAATCTCCAATTTACTAAATATGAGAAATATTTAACTGAAACATTAAGGTTAATGGCATTGAAGCATATCACAAGAAGAAAAAGACCACACCCCACAACTTAATTACAAAAGTGCAATTCAGGAAATATACTCTATTGAAAAATTACAAACAAACAAACAAACAAACATTAAAAAAAAGTAGAATTTAGGTAATAGGAAATTTGAATGATACTGTGCATGATAATTAATTTGCAAACCAGGTACTTACTATTTTTTCCCACTTTAAATAAATGAAATTCAATAAAAAATGTAAATTAAATTAGAGCAGTGCTTACAATGGAAGCAGTAGATGCAGAGATATCCTCATTTTTCATTAGGCCCAACCATGTCTTTCAAAGTCCATGCCCCCAGGTTGTAACAGGCTCGCTCTCTCTCTGACATCATCAGGATTATTTTCTCATAAGAAATCTTCAAACTATATGGAGAACCACATTTTTAAATGTGGAATACATACATACATAGTAATAATATGAATAAACAGAGACAGAATGTGTCATATAATGGTTGTCAATATATATATGTATATATATATATATAATTGTCAAATGATACAATACATTTTTAAAACTCAGCTGAAGCTGAAGTATTATTTCATCCTGCTTCTACTTTATTCTTTCTACAATAGTTTGGGTTGTATTGCAGATCATTGAATGTTTTATTCTAATTTTATTTCAAAATGTTCTTTTTCAAAAGTCGGTTTTTATTTCACAGCTTCAGTTTCCCAATTAGTGATTGCTTTATTTCATAATACCAGTTTTAAAACATGAAGAAAGGTTGGTCCCCTTAAGTGCAATTTATTAGCACATTCACAAGTGATGTTTTGAGCTAATGCTCTCCATCAGCCTAATACATTTTTTTTCTCACAAAGTCCCAGCTCCATAGTGCATACTGTTTGTATACAGTATATACTAATCTTTATGGTGATATGTGCAGTTTTGGACCTCAATCAGACTGCACTTTCAAAATGCCACAGTCAATTAAACTTCACAAATTGACAGCTAAATGGTTGTCCAAATAGTTGAAGTGCTGTGTGCTGTGGGCAGCTCTTACATTTTCTTTGGGTATTGCATTGTGAGATGTATTGTTGGTATGCACACTCAGGAGCGAATTCACAAAAGGATTGGGTCTGTAATTCTCAAAGCACTTGCAAAGGGTGAAATGCACCCCTAACTGCACTGCCAAGCAAATTCTGTATTGGTGCTCCTGTGCTATTTGCACGTATTGAAATGAGGTGATATACAGACATTTGGTGCAAAATTAGCCCCTTTCTATGCAGATCAGTGCTGATAGCCACACAGTTAAATGAAATTATTAGCATCTTAAGAAAGTTGGTGGTAACTGAAGCACAGCGACAGACTGGGATATTAAATCCCAAATATGGTTTCTCTCTTCCTTACCTGAAGTTTTGAGGAAAGCCACTACACCTTGTTGGTCAGGACCTGTAGGTCACAGTCTGAAAGTTTCAGTTTTCTTTTTGTCTCTGCCATTGTTCTACATACTGTGTACATTTATACTTCTCCACATAGATATCCAATCAAATGCATAAAAAAGGCAAATTGCAGTCATTTGCAAAACTTCATGGGCATGTTTGCTCTTAAATATCATTAGCATAATTTCTTCTGTGAATAAGTCCTCGACACGGCAGATAGCAGTCGCAAGTGATGCACAATTCATGGTGCCATCAGCAGCCGCAATCCATTCTTTGTGAATTGACTGTTCTGAGTATACTTCATTTTGCCGCTTTTCCACTATGAGCACACAGCAAATCACAAGACTGTTTCTGGTCTGACTGACGAACTGACTGACTTTGTGATGAAAAGTGACTTTATTACATTAATTGAAACAAAACAGTAACATCTCATAATATGTAGCTGTATTTGGAAAATGAACGGTATTATTCATCACTCATATTTATATAATAGATACAGACAAAAAAAAAACGTGTCTGTATTTACTATTTATTGTACTGTTATATTTGTTTATATATTTCACAGTCTTTTTCATTGATTCAGTATTGAACTCTTGTGCTCTTCACAGACATTATACAACCACTAACTGCTAGTCCCAATGACAAGTGGACTGTTGTTTCAAATTCGTGGAGTGGCCCTTTAAATGTGCAAACACAGAATAATGAGGGTGCAGATATCTGTCCTTCCAGAAGACCACTGCTGTCATTTATTGTCATCTGTGAACAGTGTACTAAGCTGCTGCGCTGCACTGCAGTGCATCACACTACGCTGTCATTCTGCATCACTTTATATTCACCATAAACCACAACATTAACAACAAAGATGTTGTAGACTGAGTGGCTCAGTGTAGTGGCCCATGAAATTCTACATTATCCTGTAAAAGGGTCAGTGTTTATGTGTATACCATGTCTTCAGTGTCCTTCACGTGTAAACAAAGGATAATATAACATTTCATTCTGTATGTGTGTGTTAGGTGGTGCAGCTGGAGGAGCTGCTGGCAGTGCGTCACTCTGTGTTTGTGATCGGGAACGCAGGCACTGGGAAGAGCCAGGTGATGAGGTCACTCCAAAGGACTTATCAGAACATGAAGCGCAGACCTGTGTGGGCGGACCTCAACCCAAAGGCTGTGACCAATGATGAGCTCTTTGGCATCATTAACCCGGCAACCAGAGAATGGAAAGATGGTGATTACAGAGTCTTGCAGAAACGTTGTTTGATTAGTACAAAGTGTCCAATAACCTGAGTCAAAAAAATCCAAAATGTCAACCCCTTCTTTACAGGCCTGTTCTCTAGTATAATGCGTGAACTGGCGAATGTCAGTCACAGCGGACCTAAGTGGATTGTTTTGGATGGAGACATTGACCCAATGTGGATTGAGTCACTCAACACAGTCATGGATGACAACAAGGTGTGAGCAAGTTGAGCGTGTGAGTGTGTATAACTGTGTGGAGTCTTTTATTCAGTATCAAAATGACGAAGGTTACACATTTTCACTGTTACTAAATCAGCATTCAGATATGAAAATATGTGGTTGACTCATCACTGATGCGAGAGAGTTGTAAACTATTTGTACTCTGCGGATGAGAGGATAAATGACAGTGTGTGCATGTAATGCTAAGAATAGTGGAAAGAGCTGATAGCAGGTGGCATAATCCAGGCTAAGACGGTGTAAAAGGCACAAAGAACACATTCTTCTTCAGTCATATCTACGTGCACTGTTTGGAAATATGCTGTCTGCTTCTGTTAGGTGCTGACTCTGGCCAGTAATGAGCGGATCCCTCTGAACCCTACCATGAGGCTGGTGTTTGAGATCAGCCACCTTCGTACTGCTACCCCCGCTACAGTATCTAGAGCAGGTAGTCCTTGCTTTTCTTTCTTCATCTCATTCTTTTACTTTGGCCTTTATGACAATATTAGGCTTGTATTTTGGATTTATTTTCCATTTCTAATATATACTTTATTATTTTGTTTTATAACACAGTAAATGTGTCAACCATGGCCACTCACCTACAAAGGATGATATACTGTACATAAAGTTCCAATGCAAGCGTCAGGCCCCCTGTGTCTTGGCAATTCATATAAGGGACAAACATACAGGAAGAACCATGTTCTTGAACAGTAGGGCAAATCAATGTATTGTTTAATTTTAAAATAACTTTTAGTTATGAAGAGCTGTAGCTTTCTTCATCTAATATGTGTTAGATATCCCACTGCTTGCATAAATAATTGAATTATAAAATGTGCCAATATTTGACAAGCTGGGATGAGAATCTGTTGGTATCCCATTTAGTCCAGCACTCTTCTCTCTTTTCTTTCTGTAATCTTAAGTGTAAGTCATAGGTTTCATAATGCATATGCTGTGTGTCAAATCCCAATATACTCCCAAGACCAAAAGAGTGTGAGTGTAATCTGTCATTAAGTGCCCACGTTGGTTAAATAATGGAGCAGCCATGCATAGTCTGCCCTCACTTGACATTGCACATGTTGTCCGGGGATTAAAGGGGGTCCAACAACACATTTTATGCCCTGGGGACCCACAATGGATGAATCCAGCCATGGTTGCAGCTACTGTAATCACCATGTGTGTTCTATTCCTTGTTTTCTGTCTAGGCATCCTTTACATAAACCCAGCAGACCTGGGCTGGAACCCGCCAGTGACGAGCTGGATCGACAGGCGGGAGGTCCAATCAGAGAAAGCCAACCTGACCATATTGTTTGACAAGTACCTCCCCTCTTGCCTGGATGGCCTCAGATCAAGGTAACACGGCTCCTCAGCAGCTCTGTGTCACTGTCAAATGACATTCTCACAGTGATATCTGGTTGACGCAGGATGTCGAGATGTGAGATAACATGGGGAGGGACTGTGCAAAAGTGGGCGTGTTGGATATTAGCAAACAGCGTCTGACTCAGAAGAATTGGATTCCATCCTGCATTCTATTGTACAGGACCACTCGCCTCCTCCAACACCTCCATCACCACTGCTATTGGAGCAGACAACAAAAACAGGAAGCAGAGGAGGGAGACAGAGAGGAGGAATATTTTGTCCTCACTGTGAGGCCAATAAATCCAGAGAATGCACCACTGTACAGTCCCACCGTGCCACAGAGCTTATAGATTTGTAAACAACAAACTGAATTTCATTTTGTCCAAAGCAGCTTCTCTGTTCAATCTTTTATAAAAGGCTAGCTTCAATGCAAAATAAAACCATAAATTATTTTCTTATTTCAGCACACTAGCTATTTAAGTGCTTAATGAGGAACAGAAGTCAGTGGTAATGCTTGAATCCAGTGATGTAATGTGTCTGTCTTTGCTCAGGTTTAAGAAGATCATCCCTATCCCTGAGCAGAGCATGGTCCAGATGCTGTGCTACTTGCTGGAGTGTCTGCTGACACCAGAAAACACCCCACCAGACTGTGCCAAGGAACTTTATGAGCTCTATTTTGTCTTTGCTGCTGTCTGGGCCTTTGGGGGAGCCATGTTCCAGGACCAGGTACTGCGTGGGCCTCTGGGCATGTGAGACGCTTACTAAGTGGTTGCATAAAGAGGGAAAAAGAATAAGATGCAACTGAAACAGCTGAATGATTTTTTTTTCTCTGCTCATAACTCCTTTTTTGCACTTGCATTATGGGCATTCCTTGCTATTATTCAAGCCCCGGTGGCTCTTACGCAACTCAACTTTGTGTCTCTATTTATGAGAAGTCATTTGAAAGTTATTTTCAGTTGAAGAAATGGCAGGTTTGTGAAAAGGCAGAGATCCCCATCTGAAAATGAAGTGGACTCCATTCCTGCTCAACAACACACAGGCTGGCTGAATTTAAATCAGCAGGAGAGCCATGGAGAGCAGTTGCTAAGCAATCCAGTTAGCGCTGTACAGTAAGCGCGTCCATCTAAGTTATGGGATAAAACTGCTCTCCCCTCGGTACAAATGTACTCCACTTTATTTTCCCATCACAGATGCATTTAAATGCTAAGTGGTTTTATTGACTGGAGAGTTGGTAGTGAATAGAGGAGACAGGTACCAAGGGGTGGGGAGGCACAGAGGAAGGCGAGGAACTGCCAGCCAGTAGGTGATGAGGCTACTCCACTGTCTAAATCAGACAGATGGATAGATGGGCCTGCCATCTCTCATTTTCTCCCCTTCAACTGCTGTAGCTGTATCTCTATGTTGTTGCCATTTATTTGTCCTCTGGTTTGTATTCACACCAGTGTAAATCAAACGCGCAGATCCATAGCTACTGTATGGGGGAGAAAAAGCAGAGAGGAAGTCATTTTAGAGTATTGACCGCTCGCCTACCCTCTGTGTCTCTGCGTGTGTTCTCTGTGTGAGTGCAGCTGGTCGACTACAGAGTGGAGTTCAGCAAGTGGTGGGTGGCCGAGTTCAAAACCATTAAATTCCCATCCCAGGGCACTGTGTTTGATTACTACATCGACCCCGAGAGCAAGAAGTTTGAACCCTGGTCCAAGATGGTGCCCAAGTTTGAGATGGACACAGATACACCTCTGCAGGTACAACAGGTTGTTTCAGAGTATGCAAGCTGTTTGCAAGTATTTGGTGGGAATACACAGATTTTATTTGCTTGGCTTATTCTTAAATTACATAACAATATTTTGATAATTGATTAACACTTTGAAAAGACATTTTATTGTCATTGTATGTTGACTATCTTTGACAAAGTTCATGTTAGATCTGGGACCTTGTGATAAGTATTTTCATTCATATCCACATTTTACAGGTAAAGCTATTAATTGATTATTAGAAACAAATATTTTAGGCATTATTAGTTTTCAAAATAATCCTTAGTTGCAGCACTAATACCCTGTAGTATATTAATGCCTTAACAGGGATTGTGCAGATACCATATTTTTGTATGTTTAATATACATATGCATGTTTGTTTTCCATGTGCAGGCATGTCTGGTCCACACTACAGAGACCATTCGGGTTCGTTACTTCATGGACCGCCTTCTGGAATGTCGTCGGCCCGTCATGCTGGTGGGGAATGCAGGGACAGGAAAGTCTGTTTTGGTTGGGGACAAACTGGGATCACTGGATGCAGAGAAATACATGATTAAAAATGTCCCCTTCAACTATTACACCACGTCTGCTATGCTCCAAGGTAGGAGCCATGCATGGAAACTATTTTCTTTTTGAATGGCTTTGTGCTCTTCCAGTATAATCAAATGTCTCCACACTGACCTGCGACTCTTTTCCTCTAAACTACTGCATAAATATGGCCATTCAGTTACATCTTTCTTTGTTAATTTCCCTTCCTCCCTCCTTTCTTTTTTCCTTACTTCCCTCCTCCCTCCAATGTGTCTGCTGTCTGCTCTTCTGTTCCTCTCCTACACAGCTGTGTTGGAAAAGCCCCTTGAGAAGAAAGCAGGGCGCAACTACGGACCTCCAGGCAGCAGAAGACTGATCTACTTCATAGACGACATGAATATGCCCGAGGTGGATGCATATGGAACAGTGCAACCTCACACACTCATACGCCAACACATGGACTACAACCACTGGTAGGGTTCTGTCATTTACATGCGGCAATGCAATATGTATGTATGAGCAAACACAAGTACAAGCCTGTGCTGTTTAAAGAGGGAGACATTATGCATAGACTGTGTATTTCAAGGTGATTTCTAGAAAGTATCACATAAGCAGTTGGAGTGTTCCTCACTTTAATTGCTTAAATGATGGACAGTTTCAGGCAATTTCTCAAGGTATTAACATAATAAAGGATAATTCAGATAATAGAGTGCCAGCAGCTGATAGGTGTAATACCCTAATAATTCTACTGAAATTGTCTTTAGTATTCAGACAGATCCCTGCCTCAGTATCAATATGCTACAACTTTTATGAGTCAAAAGTCAAATGTGAGTGCAGGGTTGTATGATTCCCCTTAAAAGGATTTTGTTGCTCATCTCTCTGACACAGTGAGGCCATTCTGAACATGGTTCCACTGCGTCAGACACAGGCTGACTGGCTTAGACACGGTCAGCCCATTAGAGATATGCTGGGAGGATTTCAGGTATGAAATTGAGAGGAAGGAGGATGCTACTGAGCTACGCCAGCTTAAGTGGGAGCTGAGGCGTCTATATCGGGGAATGTATGTGCATGTGTGTTGGTGTCTGTGTGCATTCAAGACTGTTAAATAATGTTTTTCTTCTGCCTGTTGTCCGCCTATGTGTGTGCGTGCGTGCGTGCGTGCGTGCGTGTGTGTGTGTACACTCCCAGGTATGACCGTAATAAGCTGCTTCTGAAGGAAATACACAGCGTTCAATACGTGTCCTGCATGAACCCCACAGCCGGCAGCTTCACCATCAATCCACGACTGCAGGTACACACACACAATTACACACATACAGCATGTCCTCACAGCACATTGTGTACCACTGGTTATGCAACACTGCAGAGGTTACATGTGCACTAACTCCACTTGCACATGATATCATAGATAATTTTTCTTTATATTTGCCCTCTATTATTAGATTAGGTGACATGTTGTGCCTCTCTACATTGATTTTTTTATTCATTTGTATTTTTTGGGCAAAACTTTGCATCATTACATTGTTTGTTTTCTCTGAATTTGTTTGTTCATGTGCTCGTTCATTCGTTTCAGCCATTTAAGCACAGTTGATTGGATTTAGATGAAATTTTAACAAAAAGTCTCAACATTAACTTTCAGCATTTAGGAAATGACATCGGTTTGCCTGAGGGTGGTGGCACATTATTTGCTTGTTCATTTGTTTGTGCATATGTTGGTGCAAGAAATCAGACTCATGTGATTAAGCAAGACTTTGGAAAAAAGAAAAACACAGTGGTAAAAGTTGGATGCCACAGTAATTGTTCATGTGTTTTTGAACCAAGCCACTGTGGTATGTGAATACCGGTTGCACTGCGTGACATCTACACAGAACTGACTAAAATGATATTATTGTTTGCATATTAACGACTTCTCATATCAGAATTACAAAATTACAAATTATTGTCAGGACTCCCACAGTGATTAAGGTCTGGTTATGTTTAGGCAGTTAAATCCACTTTTTTAAGGGATAAGGCTGCCATCAAGTTAAATTTTTTTTAATTCTACAAATCACATCAAAAGGCCTAAACCATGTTTTGATCCATATCTCCATACTTTTAAACTTTCCCACTTTAACTATGGCTTTTTTTCCACAAGTGCATTGCTCCTTCTAAAGATCTAAGTCTTTTTAAACAAATCACAAATCTACAGTTAAGTTTCATTTAAAACAGCTTGGCATTGTAGATTTTATGAAACAGGAGGAAACATTGCATTTGCTGGATACTGTTTTTAGCAGTGGATTAATGCACATTTGGTGCTCTTATGAGTATTTGTGACAGCCGGACAGTGTTTGTTGGACTGGCTCAAAATAATCTACAGTGTGTGTGTGTTCGTGGTAATGAAGGAACATGTCACCCAGTGCAACAGTGTGGCTCACTGATGGGTTTTTAGTGCTTTTTGGACAATGATGGAGCTCTGTGGTGCAGGGGAAGAATATATATCAGGCTTTGGATATACACACAATACTTGTTAGTGGGATTTGTTGACAATTAGACAAATACAAAATATTTCCAGCCTTACCCTTGATGGATGGAGCAAAGATCGCTCTCATGGTTTCGAGAAACCAGCTTTGACTGTTTGGGATGCAAATCATGGTCTCTGCATTAAAGTCGCACAGTCTGTACGCCCAAGCATTCATCCAATAAAGATGCTTTTTTTGTAACAACATACTGCTACTTCTGCATTTACTGGTGGGAGGGAACAGTCATTAACATGCCTGCACAGTGTCACTTGTCAGGGGAGCATAAACATACAGTACATTGGGTCATTAAGCCATTTGTACAAACAGTCGTTGTTGTAACTGTGGGTACAAGAGTCACATTGGTCAGAATGTGGGACAGGCTGGCAGCCCAAATCTATTTGGCAAATCTAGATTAATTTTAGAAAGTCTGGGTAGCAAAAAAACATGAAATGCAATTTTTGCAATTCATATCCAAACCACATTTGGAGGTGGTTTGAAATGCAATTGCCGTGGCTGCTCGAGTCTGATTTCAAAGTGACTTTTGCATCAATCGCATCACTACAAATGACAACCTCAAATGTACTGAGTGCTGAGCAGAATCCATGCTGCTACAAGCAGAGCACTGTAAAGGACTGTCGCTAAAAGATCTGTAACAGAAACCTGATACGGCTCAGGTCCTTTCCCCTCACCAATGGGATGTCCTTGCCCTAACCATGGTTGGCGTCAACGCCAAACTCCAACCATCTTTAGACATTTGTAGAACAGATCAGGTTTCTGGTATGAACAGTATGTGGGCAGGCGACGACAGACGATTTCAGCATCAGGAGCTGACAGCATGATTGCTTGGAGGGCGAAAATGATTGACCTCCATTTCTCAAGCTTATACGTTGAAAAGCTGCATCAACCAGTGTCTACATTGTTACTGATGGCAACGTCATTACCACAGCAACCCATGCAGATATGTCTGGATGCATAAATCCAATCTGACCACTTGGGAATAGTGCAGACAGTCTGTCTTCCTGATCAGTTTTGAGAAACAAATCATATTGGCCTGCAGTCTGAACACAGACGATGAGTATTACTTCCTACATTCATCTACAATTACTGTGACAGTAATTCAGTTCATTTGTTGTGTGAATTTATATAGCTCAGAGTTAAATGTGGGTCATAACAAAATATATTGTATGACATATATTCATAATCAAATTTAACTTCATTGTCTCAGGAGTCAAAATAGTACAAAAGATGAGAATACATGAAATACAGTGCTCCTGTCTGTACATGCTCTTTTCTGATCTGCTCACGCTCACACACATATGGACATGGGCACACTCTCTACCTCACACACACACACACACACACACACACACACACGGACAAAAGTGACGACAAAAAGATTTAATTATGAAAAATAAAGTGTAACCAAATGTGTTGAAGTGTTTAATATACACTATTAAATCTGAGGACAAAATGAGAGATGTGCAAACGGTTGAGCAGTGGCAGCAAGTGTTGATTGCACAGATGACTGTGGCTGTTAAATGCTGTGACAGCAGCAGGAACAAAGGAATGCTTCAGTCTCGTAGCTTTGATCTCACGTTGTAATATTCTGCCTTTATAACTCAACTCAGAGTGTATCTTATGTAAAATAAGGTCACTATAAAGCTGTTCTTCTGATGTCTGTTCAACGCCAAGTCAAACACTTTGTAATACTGACATGTAAAAAGTTGAAGGACATGAAAGTTTAGATTATGGCCAGCATCAATTCCTATTCCTGGGTTTTTAAACATGAGACTCTTTCAACTAGTTTACCATGTCCCCTGTTTTTTTAACATGGAACATGGAAGTATAGTTATCCTCGCACCACCTGATAACGTTTACTTTCTCAAAATACACATCAACCATTGAATTTTCAAAAACCTAACAATGCTGAGTCATGAAAACGTTGATGTGGCTGAGGGGACTTCCATTTGTTTGTGTGCAAAGTGTACAGAACAGGTGATACGGGCGCTCCTGTACTTATTCTAGGAGATGACTAGTTAGAACTTAACACCTTGGCTGCGTTTTAAGTAAAAGAGTATTTGATCCACAGTTAGGTTGCCATTGACATTGACACTTAGCTTTCTTTGGGACTGACATTAAAGCCGCAGGGTGGTAATAGTCATTTTAATTACATAAGGTAATTTAGGGACATTGTCCGTATCCACTGACCACCTTTGAAGCTCACTGATTCAGTGATCAGCACACACCTTAACCGTCCTGCTTCCAATCCCGTCAGGGCTCATAGATTTTGTAGCCTTTGGCAGCAATTAAGCAAATTAGGCTTGTCCTAAACTGTCTTCCAAGTTGAGTGGACATGAAAATACAATACACTTTGTTTTTGTGTGTGTGCGTGTGCATGCGAGTGTGTGATAGTAGAGAATTATCAGAAGCTGGAATACTATTATAATCAAGTATACAGTAAATGATCTTCAAACTATGATATACTAGTGATGTAATGATGTATTGAATGTTGGGATATTGCGATGAACAATGTGGGACTGACTGACAAAATCTACCACTATATTACTTGGTTATTTTGCTAGCTGCGTTCTACTATTTCTCCTTGTCAAAAATTGTCAGGGCTTAACATCAGTGTTTGACTAGGGCTAGTAAACTTTGTGCTTTGGCACGTGGAATGCCTTATGTGCAGTTGTCCAATCGTGTAAGTGAAAAATAAATGTATTATGTATGTGTTATGTATGTGACATTATCTGATAATGAACTACGTACTGTGTTGCAAAGCAGTGTTTTCCCAGCTGAGCTGCATGTACAAGATTGTCTCACCATCAATCCTTGAGCAGGACTGATGAGGAAAATCATACATACTGGACACTATGGAAGTTAACTCTGGGGTTAATGGTTTTCTATTAACATAGCTGCTGATACTAGGGATGTAAGGATATATCAAAGTTTGTGATATCCCGATAAAAAAAATGTCTGCCATGATATTACATGGTTATTCAAGTATAACTGCAGTCTACCATCTCTCCATGTTGAAAATGATCAAGGCTTGATGTTAACGCTTGCCTGGGGCAAATAAACTCTGTGTTCAGGCAAGTGGAATGCCTCATGCAGTTGTCTGATTGGGCAAGTGAAAAATAAATGTGATGTCTAATGTAACATTATCTGAAAAGAAACTGCCTACTGTATCGCTGATAGAGAGCTTTTCCAGCTGAGCTGCGTGAGTCTGTTGCACCACAAAGCGTTAAACAGCACAGATGAGAAAAAACCTAACATACTGGACACTACAGAAGTTAAAGCTGAGGTTGTTGATGTCTTATATGACATAACGTTACCGTTGAAGATCTCAGGAATACTGCATGCCAAAGACTGACTTTTTTGCCCAGAGGCTAACCATTGTGCTGCCTTGATGAGATTGTATCCCTTTCAGAATCTTTATAATCCAGCCTTGAACTGCAGTGTCTGTTTTGGAGACATTTTAAAAATGAAATCCAGCATGATAAATCTGACACTGAATGTCTTCGTTGATTATTTTTCAATTTTTCAGTTTAGAAAGTTAGTTATTGTTCTTGTCAGTTATTGTTCTGTTCGTGAGACGTCACCCATCCTCTCCTGCCTCCCCAAGTCCTCAGCCCTGGGTGCCTCAGCCCCTGCTGTCTCAATACAAACTACCTCTACCATCGGCTCCAAGTGGTGTGGCTCTGGACTGCCTTCATCTTTGTGGACAGAGGAACCTAGAGGCAAGAAATTTTCGTCGCGAAAGTGTCCTGGGGTTTAGTTACTCTTTAAAAAATGTTCCTTCACCCATCTGCAACATGGCAAGTGCAGGCAAACCATAATTAAACAGTTCCCTAGATAGCACCAAGGTTCCAAGAACCCTGAATGGAACCAGTTCAAGAACCAGGGCTAATTTGGTGGAAAAGGCGTGGCAGAAGGATGCTCAGACCCAACAAGAAATTGGTGAAAACCAACTTTAGATTTTTTCTTCATAAAAGACATTTTTTCAAGTCATTGTTTGTCTTCGTTTTTACATATATCTTGATAAATATCATATCATGAACTTTTTAATGTGGTAGTACTGTGCAGTGAGGATTTGGTATTGTCTCATTCCTTGAATATACAGCACTGTACGTACTCACTAAACTCAGAGGAATATATAATTACAGGTCAAACTTAAAAATGGTCTTATTTGAAATTAAAAGACATACCCTTGTTTGACTGCATCGTTTGTGAGCAACATGTTTACTGTTGCCTTGTTTGTGCTTTATCTACCTCGATAGCGCCACTTCTCTGTCTTCGCCCTGTCCTTTCCCGGAGCCGAGGCCCTGAGCACTATCTACACTTCCATCCTGTCTCAACACCTGAAAGGAGAGGGCTTCAGCGCAGCCCTGCAGAAGAGCTGTCCCATTGTGGTCCAGTTAGCCTTGGCCCTGCACCAGCGCATGTCCTCCACCTTCCTCCCCACTGCAGTCAAGTTCCACTACATCTTCAACCTGCGAGACCTCTCCAACATATTCCAGGTGACACATAGATAGAAGATGTATCTACACAGACATTCTTTTTAGAGGACTGATCTCTGGTTAATCTTTTTACAGTCAAATATCAGAAGTTGAAAAAGTTGTATGCTTTTTCTTATCACTCCTCTTTCCTTTTTAACAAGGAGTTAGATATTTTTGCCTTGATTCTCTCGGTTTCAACAGCTCTGCTTCCCACGTGGAAAGAGCCAGGCTTCTGTCACTAATTTCTCATCTAAATTATTATTGATTTAAGAGCTGGGTCTGAAAGCTAGAAATAAGTCTGAAATAAGTGTAACAGAAAATAGAATGGATTTGCACTTCCACGGGTGTTAGTGATGATTTAATGTATTTAAATGAATATAATATCAGAGCACGAAGGCTGTCAAGGGAGAAGCTTCGGGGACAATATTTCTGTCAAAATCCTCCACGGTTTCATGGAGGGCAGGCTCTCTCATTTAACTCACTCCGTTGTATAATTAATGCTTTAAGCCACTGAGCTATAGGAACTTCAGATTTTATAATGCCATCTGAGTTTACAGAGGCAGCTCATAGTTCTTACGATACTATTATACAATGTACAAAATACATATGCTTTTTTGATATTCATCTTTTTAATGTTGCACTAATAAATATTTTTTATATTACAGTGCATCAAATGACTTTGTGTAAGGTGAAAGGATTTGGTTGTAGTAGGCTAAAAGCAGAGCCTGCTGGGTCAAATGTGCAGGCAGAGACTGACAACAGGAAGATAATCAGGACAGGCAACTAAACACAAAGGAGCATACAGTCTGCAGCTTAGCTAGCAGCTCTGTGAGGCTGTATTAAGGCGAAACCACAGCCTGTGTAAAAATAATGGATATAGCCACTGTGATGTCACCCACTGGTTTGTGGACCATCTTGGATTGGTCCACAAACCAGTGGGTGGTCGCCATCTTGGACTTTTTAAGCCAGAAATAACCCAAGGTAAGTATACATGCAGACGAAAAGGTGGAGTTCTAGAGGAGAAAGGGGTGGATCTGACTGACGTGACACTTAGCAGACAGCCTGTAACTCCCAGTGGCCACACCCCTCATTATGGGTAAATTTAAGACTTAATAAAATGTAAATGGATGAGTTTAATAAAAATTCAGTCCCCATACAGATGTCATGAACCAAAAACTGATATTTATACCAGGCTGTAAACATGTTTATTTCTGGTGTTAAGTCAGACATTTTAATATGGGTCTATGGAAATTGACTGAATTTTGGACTCAGCCACAAGTGGACAAGTGGCAGTTACTGGCATACAGCTTTGAATGCTGCCACTTGGGCACAGCAGTAATAATTTATGAAATTTGACTAGAGCTCTTTAAATCAGTTTATCTTGTTGCGCTGCCAATTACAATCATTTAGTAGCACCTGAGTGGGAAACTTGTTCCACAAACTGTTAATCTTGATACAACAGTTCCTAATAACAGTAGTCGGTGGTCAGAGAATCACTGAAGCTATTACAATTCATCCTGACAGTAACATGAACGTCTGTACTGAATTTCATGGCAATCCATCAACAACAGTTGCTCAGATAATGACAATGAATTGTAATGACTTTTCCTGTAATGCCAGCATGAGGGTGACACTGTTGTTCACAGAGTGCCAGAAGGAGTTTTTGAAGAATTAAAAAGAGATCTTGAAAAGGAAGTTCAAACCCTGCCTACTTTCACACCTCAGCACACCTGATCAACCACTGCATGATGTCGGTGTAAATGTCAAATATCAAGTTTTTTGCCATCGGAGGAAGGTTTCAGACACTGTTAGATGGTCAGACCACCACTTTGCTTTAAGCTTATAGAGGCCTTAATGATAAGTCTTGAAATATCTTATTATTAACCTTATTTTCTGTGTGTCTACTGGGTTTTAGCCATTGTAATGAGTTGTTGCAGATTCGAGCCTTCTGCACTTTAAGATTAAGCATAATTACCATCCCTAAGCTCAAGCCCTGATGACCCCAAGACTCACCTTATAAACCCTTGATCACTGACATCACAGCCATGAAGCAATAGAAAGTTTAGCTGCACCATAACACTTTGAAACCAGTGCTTGAAAAGGCCATTGTACCTGTTTTGTCAGAGTCTTTGTTTTGTTTTGGGGTCTGCGCAGCTTGACTGGACGTCCAATAACCACAGAGAGAAAACACTGTCAAAGCTCTCTTGCTGTTCCTCCTCTCCACCCACAGAGAGAATAGAAAGAAAGCCAGAAAGGGACTCCTGGAGCTTGTTTGAAGTTTTTCTATCTAACTTATTCAGCTCCTGGCTCTAACACCTTAGGACAGCTGGGAAGAGGTGAGCAGCCTCGCAGCTCACAGCTCTGCCTTAGCTGTAATTCCCCCACCGCGCCTCTGTGCTTTTGCACCTTCAGAAGTGGGAAAGTATTGGTGAGACAGTACAAACGCTTCCTCTAATTTCAAGCATGAGGCCTAAATGGTTGTCACTCAGTGTTTTCTGGCTTGACAGATCAAATGTTTGCCTCAGCTGAAATAATTGGTGGACTTTTTGTATTTCACTTTGTTTTTTAAAACTTTGAAACTTGGAGATGTAGCCGAAGGCAACCGTCTCATTATGATTAACTCTAATGAGCCAGAGAACTGAGCTCAGAGACTCTGTGAGAGCTTGCAACCCCCCTTGCAAAGGTGTTTTTAACGTGACAAAAGGAGCGGGGCCAGACAACACTCAAGGTTGCATTTTTACAAGAGTATTGTTGCTATTATTTGCTGACAAAGTTCTCAGGTTAGGGGTTTATTTGTTGAATAGTAAGTAGGAGCTTATGCCAGTAGTGTCCTTTCTTTTCCCCTTTTTTCTCTATTACTTCTCCACTTTGTCCTTTACCACTTACTTTGTTGCAGTACTCCATCTTTCTGCTCTCTGTCACCATAAATCTCTACTTTCTCAATGCGTTGGGGCAATCATTATGCCCCGTGGATGTTAAATTAGACGTTCTATAAATGAAGTACAGTAGCCAAATTCCACTTAGAGGGCAAGACAAACAGTTTGGCATACGACTGGGAGCATTGTCAGAGAGCTCTGTTTGCCAATGTTCATTCTCTGCCATGACCAGCGGGCATATCCGAGGGCCTGTCTTCCCCACGTCAGCCTAAATGAGCTCCTCGAAGCTCAAGAGGCGAGGGAGGAGATGAGGGGGAAAGATGGACGTAGTGAGAGAGGAGGACAGAGACAAGGGAAAGAGAAAGAAAGAGAGTACAAGAGACCTGCGGTGCAGAGAGACTCTGAAGTCGAACTGTACTGACTGCACAATATGTCTGTATGATGTTTCGTGGATAGTCAGCTGGGTGCATTTGTTAGTGGGGGAAGCATTGTTTGGGGCTCAGAGCATCTGTCAGACTACGAGGAAAGCGTGCCCGCTGCAGACGGCCCCACAGACAGACAGATACATGCCGAAACCCAGAACTCTCTAATCCCTCTCCTCTGAGTCGAACAAAGCAATGAAAGATCAGGGACAGGGAGGATGAGATAGTCTGCCAAAGTCTGCTGGATAGAAGGAAAACAAAGTTCTCACTCCTTCTCAGTTTGTGAGTGCTGCGCCGTTTGTTCGATCGGTACAACGGACAGCTAAGCCTGTGAGTATGACTGTTACATAGGTTGCCATATGGTGTTTTGTTTTGCTCGGGCACACTTTTTACACAGTAAATACAGTGTATCATGACTGATACCTTTCAGCAATGAAATGGAGTAGAAAAAGACAGATCTATTAAAAGTCAAATGATTATAGTTTTCACATATACTCTGGAAAACATCTTGATTTTTGTAGATCTAGAGTAGCGGTGACAATTCTGGCTCAGTTTGAATCTTCAGTACACACATCCATGCAAATGTTCGCACACACAGGCACACCACCCATCTGCACCATTACACAGTGGATTTAGCAGCCAATTGTCACATTCGGCGGGCTCAGATATGAAGGCGGATCAGATTCAGCTGGCTTTACCCCCGGAGATGATTCTGTTGATTGGAATAACTTCTGGGGCTGGAAACACACAACATCTGCTTGCCTCTGCCTCTGCCTCCTGGGTGACAGTGCGCAGAGGGGAACAAACAGTGCCTGGGCGCCTCTTTGTCCCTTTCCTCATCCTATACGGCACCTGTTTTGTGAGGCTCCTAGATTGCGCAGGGTTCTGCCTGACTGCATAATGAATGGCCCGGTGGGAAAGCCAACACGTCACAGAGGCCGCCTCTAGAGACACATTAATCATCCATCATCCACTAAACACTCATCTGCTCATTGTCATGATTTTCTGTTAAATTTGAGCTATTTTGAACAGAAGATGATGAGAAGAAGGAATTACACACAGAAAAACACATCTGTTTTCAGCTGTGTTAGCCAAGTGGAAGCTCTGTGGATGCTAATGTTGGCTCGTCTGTCGGTTAGTCAGACCACCACTTATGTCCAGACAGAAATACGACAACAACTATTATGGATTGCCGTGAAATGTGGTTGAGACCCTCATGGTCCTCAGAGGATGAAGGATCCCCTGACTTTTCCTATAGCACCATCATGGGGTTGACATTTTTTGTTTTGTGGTTAAGTAGCTTGATAAATACTAGCTAGATGCCGTAAAATGTGGTAAAGATATTCATGGCCACCGTAAGATGAATCATAATGACTAATCCCCTGACATTTTTATGTAGCACCTCAATCTGGTCAAGCATTTTACTTATCCAGTCAAATATGTCCACATCTACAGTACTGTATGGACGGGCACAAAGTTTGGTACACACATCCACAGAGGGGAGGGGAGAGATGTTTTTTTCTACATGTTGGCGCACAGGATGAACTGTTGTAACTTTGGTGATCCCATGATTTCCATCGACCCCCATCATCTGGTTAGCTTTTTCAAACTGAGAAAAATCACATGCGGTAGTTCAGGGCTCCCTGAAAAGGTGCCAACAATCTTGACACCCTTTTTAGACTATATGCAAACAAATTTAATGCAAACACTTAACAGTAGTAGCCTCCCATATCTTTACCCCACTATTTCCCTAACCCTCCTTTCATTCCTTCTTGGTAATTGTATTACTTTGCCTGCATTTGTTTATTCTGGTGACTTTACAAATGGAAGTAATCCATGTATGTAAGGTGGCCAGAATATCCATGTACAGTATTTATGCAAGTATGCTTTTTAGTACCTTTGGTCTGTATTTTTTCCCCTCCCTCTTTTTCTCTGGAAAAAAATGGCTGCAAATACTTTGTGTCTAGTGCCAATTAGCAAATGTTAACATGCTAGCACACTAGACTCATGTGGTTAGCATTGCAAACTTGTTTAAGACCATGGTAAGTATAATCAAGTCTACTGCCAGTTATCATCACCTTGCTTTAATTCTTGGTGTGTGTTACTTTTATATTTTAAATAAGACCCTTGTAAGATGTACTGAACAGTTAGCATGCTGACATTAGCATTAAACTCAGCCTCACAGAGCTGTCTGAAGTCATTCAGTTGTTATATGCAAATATTACACACCAAATTTATATGGTATTTATTATATTCTGTTATACTATATTTATTGTTATTGAGTTGTAGTAATACTTTTATTCTATGAAATTATTCTCTATTATGCACTTACTATACTTTATA